GAACCAGCACTAACACCACCACCTGGGAATTTCTCGGAAATGCAAATTACTGGGCCCCACCCAGACCTGCTGAATCAGTCTGGGGAGGGCTCAGCACTGCCCGAGGCATGGCCTTCCCAGGGGTGTGGAGACAGCTCCAGTGTGAGCACCACAGGGTAGCCCTGCATCTCCCTGACATTCACATGACAACTACTACAAAAACTAACTAGACACAACTGCAGTCACAGGAAGACCACAGTAACAGTTTCAGGAAACCAATTGTCAAGAGCGTCAGTGAAGCTCAAACCAACACCATCTGCATCCAACTTGGTGGTAAATAGAAGTAAGGATGGCCACAAGCAAATGTTCTCTGTGACAACACGGCAGGCCCCAGCAATGACAAGTGTTCAAAGCAATTTTGAAAAAGAAGTCCAAAGTGAGGAGAATCAGTCTACCTCATTTCAAGCTTAATTATAAGGCTGCAGTAATGAAGACTTTAGCACTACTGGTGAAAGGATGGAAACAGATCAATGGAACAGAACAGAAAATCTGGAAATAGACCTATGCAAATATGCCCAANGGAAACAGATCAATGGAACAGAACAGAAAATCTGGAAATAGACCTATGCAAATATGCCCAACTGATTCTGCACAGAGGCCACTGATCCAGTGGAGGCCAGCCTTTCCAGCAAATGGTGCTAAGACAACTGCAGATCCATCAAGAAAATAAATCACAACCTCACATCCTACAAAAAAGTTAACTTGAAACAGGTCACAGACTTAAAACATAAAACAACCAAACTTATTAGGAAAACATAGGAGAAAATCTTGGGGATCTAGGGCTAGCCAAAGTTTTTAGACTCATCACCAAAAGCATAATCTATAAAAGGAAAATCAACAAATCGGATTTCACCAAAATTTTAAAATTTTGCTCTGCAAAAGATGCTAAGAGGATGAAAAGACAAGCTAAAGCCTTGGAGAAAATATTTGCAGACCACATATCCAGCAAAGAACTAACATCCAGAATACATAAAGAACTCTCAAAACTCAGCAGAAGAAATGTAAACAACCCAATCAGAAAATAGGAAAAGACATGAGTAGACATTTCACCAAAGAAAATACATGAACAGCAGGG